TTTGGTAAAAACTAACTGATAAACAAGATTGACAATATAAACCTTTTTAAAAAATTACATGTTAAAAAACATAGGAATAAATAAAAAAGTTAGTTTTATTTTAATATAATTAACCTTACTTGTTTATCTTTGACTTCCCACCAGGGTGCAAGCAAAAATGGTCTACAGTAAAGATTGTTAATCATCTCTCTCAGATCTATTTTAAATCGATCATTTCAAAATCGGGTTAACCAGTTCCGACTAAAAAATCATATAACCGATCCTAGTTCCAGTTTGGTTTAAAAAGATATGTTTTCAAAAGAAATTATGCAAAAATGCTATTAATGTTTTTAAATTACAGTTTATGAAATTTAGCATACAAATACGTTATAAGTAATGTATATGCTTAAAAATATCTTGAAAAATATGAAAAAAAAAACCCTTGAAAATCATGAATCCCTTGTATTATAATTAATAAATTTTTTAAAGAAAATCGGTAAAAAAAAATTAACTGATCCCAATTAATTAGCAACCAGACCAAACCTAATGTGACCATCTCTAGTCTAATCCAACTTGAAGTTCAAACTCAACTTTCATTTAACTCTGAAATGCGGAATATATTGCCAAATTCTTGGATGTTTGCTGGTAAAAAACACATAGTGATAAATAATAGATACGTGCACATGTTGCAAGCAACAAGAAGATCACAAAGCCACATGTCCGGAAAAACCCTACCAAAAACAATAAGACAAATTTAAGCAAAGAACTTAAAAGGGACCAAAGTCTGAGCCGCAAGTGACTGGTTATGGTGAGGAACAAGATTGGTTAGACCCGAGAGGACCAATTAGGCCTCCCTTTTGTCTTAAAAACCATGGTTAGGATCGGTCCTCATTTGAATTGAATAAAACCCAATTAAAGACCCGAATAAAGTCCAAAACAGCTTGGGCAATTTATACAAGGGTGAGATCGGAAGTAAATGTTGAAAAACAAGAATCGAAAATCTCATTTAAGTTGTTAGATTGAAATAATTCAATGGATATGATTAAAAATGCGGTTATAACCATCTTTTTTTTATAAGATAAAAATAATTCGCCCCTAATTTTTAATTTGAGAATCGGCAAAAAAAAAACAACAAATACTGAAGCAAAATACACCACAAAATAAACATTTTATTATCTTTAATTCCACATCCATTTTGATATAAGACTGTTAATTTGCGAGAATGCAAGAAGTTCCAAGTCACGTGTAATCACATGGAGCAGATGACTTTTCCAATCACATCCTTTTTGAAGTTTTGTATCACAATTCACATGTGATCTTGAAACTTCTCGGTTTTTTACAAAATGACCGGCTTCTTGCATGATCCCCCCTCTGTCTCTCTCTCCCTGTGTGTGTGCGCATATATATATACTAGAAGGGTACTCGCGTAATGCCACGAGATACATTTTTATTTTAATGTTTCCTTTTATTTTTCGTCTATGTTGATATAATATGATTTATGTGGTTTTAAGAAAGATAATGTATTTATTTTTTTGAATAAAAATAAATTTGAAGATATCATAAAAATATGAAAAAATATACTCGATACTAATATCAAATTAACTATTTAATTTTTTTTTGAACAATTTCTTTAATTCAAAATTTTATTATACTTTAATGTAGTTAAAAATGAAGTAATTTATTTTTGTCTTAACAATAATTTTTTTTATAAAGATAATGATTATGTTAGAATTTAATTATTATCTTAATTATATTTTAGATTTTTTTATATTTAAGATAAGAGGTTTATCATGTATTTGATTATGTTTATCTACAATTAGTTATACAAATTAAAAATTAGAGCTTTAATAAGTTGTACTTACGTTCAATTTACTTGTAATCTTAAATTTTAAGTAATATGTTTTAATACACAATACTCTTATGCATAAAAAATTATTTTTTAAGAGTTTTATCAAATATTTTATAATATAGTACAGATATATACCTAAAAAAATTGCAGAATTAAAACAAGAAGAAACAAACATTAGGAAATGAGTAGTTAGGATTGGTCAAGTCCTGACCCTGGCCTGAAGGATCAATTAGGGACCTATTTTCATAGTTTAAAATAAGAAAAATAAAAAAATAATTTAAAAACTTAATTATTTAAAATAAAAAAATTAATGGTTTTATAATTTAAAAAATCAATTTATAAACTAAACCGTTTAAAATAAAAAACAACAATTTAAAAACTTGAAATAAATGAAGGATATTATTAAACAATGATAAAAGTAAATAAAATAAGAAAAATAAAAAATAATTAATAATGATTAAGTAATTATTACTTATAGATAAGAGTATTTTGGTGGGATGTAATTCCTAGGTAGATGGGGTGTAAATCCACCAAGCCTTTTCATATGGGGCATTTGAAAATTGTTCAATGCCAAATTGGTGATGTCAACTATGGCTCAAAATAGCAACATCTACGTTTTCTGAATTTTTTTTATATTATCTTTTCTTTTTATAGATCGTGCTAATTATTTTATCTGAATATAAATTCAATGCCTTTAAATTTAATCGGAAAACATAACAAAATAAAACACATTCTTTATTGTTATGGTATATGAATATTTCGGTTGTTTTTTAATATAAAGTGTTAAACATAATAAATGAACTATAATTTAACTTTTTATAAATATTCGTATCATGATAAATGAATCTTTATCATTTTCATAAATATCTCAATTAATTAATTATGATTTGTACTGATTATTGAGTTTAAATGAAAACACCTATATAATAATAATAATAATAATAATCTCTTAATCATGTTAGTTATATTTATTTTGTGTAATTGTGATTACATTAACTACCTAATATCGACAAGTGAGATTGATATTGATGTGTCATTTTCTAAATAAATAAAAAAAAAGTCAACACCTGCTCAATATTATGTTGCCAAACACGACCCAACTTCTATAATTTATTTACGTCACATCAATTTGTTTGTATGTTCATCAGTTTCATATCTAAAATTTTGTTACGGTGAAAAATATATAAATTTTACAAAAGTTTTGAAACTTATGTATCGCATCGTGACTTATGTTCGAATTATACACATGTTTTCAATTTCTCAGAATTCATGTATTAGTTATACATATATATTTAAAAGTTAGTCAATTCGTGCGAATAAAACACTTCAAAGAACATTATCCGTTGCAAGGGTTCCCATATTATAGTTTCTGTATCTATTTGAAGTTTTAGGTAGTTGGTTACTTCATAATGCCTTTAAATATGTCAATTTTTAACAGTACCAACAGGGATGGAACACAAGCTTTCCAACCGTAGGGGCCGGACCTGAAATATTACATATTTTTAAAAATACAAAAAGTACACTATCCAAAGTTAAAACATAGTAAAACTTTAAAACTAGACATCAAATATGAAAATGTCAAACATCACTAATCAAGTGCCTCCAACATTTCAAGAAAATTTTCCCTATTAATGGAATATAACTTTTCATTGTGGCATCTGATAGCATTTTAAACCCAATTAAAGTATCAAATATTTCAAACAAATTTGAACCTAATCATTAATCAAACAATTTCAAACAATAACATCTTAAAACTTGAATATAAATATAGAATTGAACCCCCCCCCCCCCCCCCGGGCTGTAATCGGAGGTCAAGACTCAACTCACTCAAGAGTGGTCAACGCGGGGAGGGAGGATAGATCAACAGGTCTGTAATTTCAATAATGGAGANTGATTTAGGGGCTGTAATCGGAGGTCAAGACTCAACTCACTCAAGAGTGGTCAACGCGGGGAGGGAGGATAGATCAACAGGTCTGTAATTTCAATAATGGAGATTGAAGATAGTAATTTTGTTCATAAGTTGCTCGCATAAGTCTGTCGGCCGATATGGTCATGTGAGCATGTGGCGATGAAGAATCAACAACTTTAGACTTTAGTAGACTATGGAATGTAGCTTTAGGGATTAAAAAAATTAGGTTGGATTAAAAAATTAGTGAACTCCAGTAGAAAGGCCAAATTAAAAAAATGGAATTAACAACTAAAACCCCGATATATATATATATATATACACACACACACACACACACACTTATTGAACCAAAAATCCCATAGGCCATGGCCCCTAAAGACCTATATGGCCTTCCGCCTCTGAATACCAAATTATTTGTTGTTGATTAAAACGTACTTATTATAAAACTCAAAATGGACAAAAACGTATTAGAGAAATTAAAGAATCTCAAATAAAACAAGGCATAGAAGACGAAAGTAAACGACTTATATAAGACTTTTCACGAAGACTCGATTTTTATATCAAATAACAAGAATTCAAGAAATACCATACTTGACCGATCCTAAAAATTTGGTCTGATTGGTCCAATCATATTTAACCTAAGATTCGACATTAATTATATTATATATCATATGTTTTTTTAATATAATAAAAAGGTTAAATTAGGTGACTAGAATCTAGAAGAAGATAAATGAGTGGTACATGGCATCGTGGCTAGTTTTTTGTTTGACAAAATGGTGAGAAAAGAATAATAAGACCTAATAAAAGTGTTTTTAAATAAAGGTGTTTGTATTTTTATAAATATGATTCTACTGCTTTCATCCTATTTCAGATATTAGAATAGATTTTATCCGTCTGAAATAGAAAATGAGCTCAATAGTTTTTATTTAATCGCGGGTGTTCGAGATAATTTATGACTAATTTCAGGGATTCTAGAGAACACTGAAAAAATTTCAGTGGATTTATAGAACTCAAACCGATGACCACCGTGGAGAATTCTAAAAGGCCAAGTGGTAGAAGGAAAAAGTTAGGGGTGATTATTGTAACATTAGTAAACTTGAAGGACATAACTTTTTAACGAGTCAAGTGGTGGAAGAAAAAAGTTGGGGGGTAATTATTGTAACATTAGTAAACTTGAAGGACATTAACTTTTTAACGAGTCAAGTGGTAGAGTATGGTCTTTCTTCCCACCTTCCTTTTTGATTGTCCTATTGTGTGTGCCTCTATCTCTAATCAAACATTCCTGGCAACCAGATTCCATCGAAACCTTTTTCCACCCCCAAAATCGATTCGTAGGGTTTCTTCTGTTTTTCTCTTAATCCAAACATGGCTCCAGCCATCGATGAAGGTGCTTTTCTATCTCTTTAACTGTCTTTGTCTTTGCTTTTTGTCAATTGCGTGGTTCATCTGCAGATTCCCAATTTTCTTATCCTACTTTTAGTTTAAGAAAGGATATCGAAGTCTCACGTGATTGTAAGATGACGATCAACTAGATTATTGCAAGTCTGTGTATTAAGAGACGAAAATTGTGCTCAAAGCCGATCTTGTTCTTGGTTTGATTTCATTATTATGCTTATATGTTGTATTTGCAAAATCTTTTGTAGTAAGTGATAAAGTAGAAATTCCCTGATGATCGGTTGCCTTCAAAATTTCTGGTTTTTTTAGTCATGAAGAGTAAAAGGTTTATCTGATTTGCTGATTGGAAAACGCTTCTTGAAGAGATTTGTGCATTTAGGTTTTAGTAATTAACTCAACAATTATACTTCAATTCTGTAGGAGGCATAGAAAAGGTGCTGATGACTCCAACAAAGCATAATCAAAATTCTAACCCTCTTGGTGAGGCATCCCCTTCACCATCTCCATCTGCTGCGACTCCACCAGCACTGGTACTTTCGAATTCTGGGAAGAGGATGGATCAGGCTGGGAAGAAAAAGTACGTCAAGCAAGTGACGGGTAGACATAATGACACAGAGCTTCATCTAGCGGCCCAAAAGGGGGATCTGGCAGCTGTGAAGCAAATCCTTGATGACATTGATTCGCAAATGGTGGGAACTTTAAGTGGGGCTGATTTTGATGCAGAGGTTGCAGAGATTCGTGCCTCAGTGGTGAATGAGGTGAATGAGTTGGGACAAACAGCACTCTACACGGCTGCTGAGAAGGGTCATCTTGAGGTTGTGAAGGAGCTGTTGAAGTACTCCGATAAAGAAACAATCATGAGGAAAAACCGGTTGGAGTTTGACACTTTGCATATAGCTGCTAGTCAAGGACACGATGGTAAGGTTCTTCAACTTTGTTCTATTATCAATTATGGTAATGAATGGAAATGGAAGATTTACTACTAATTCCTTTTAAGGCCTTAGGTGCTTTATATCGAGTATAGATATAGATAGATAATGTTTTCATGACATTGATGATAAAATCAAGAGTAGGAAGGTGTTTGAAAAGTTACTCCTATAATTTAGTCCAGAAAGTAAAGCTTTTCGTTTTAGATGGAAGTTGGATAGAATAAGGAGAATTTTTTGAGCTTGGGACTTCCATTTCTCCACTTCGGCTGGTCCTCATTTTGGATATTCTCTTGCAACGCTCACTGCCTAACTTAGCTTCCAAAAAAACATGATTGAACGTATACATCTGTTTGCAGTCATATTTGCTTCTTGGAGTTATTTGAAACACATGTGGTGACTTTTTCATTGCAGCCATAGTCCAATTACTACTTGATCATGACCCATCACTCTGCCAAACGAGATCCCAAGGGAACGCAACCCCTCTCATCACTGCAGCTACAAAAGGACACACTGCTGTTGTTATGGAGCTGCTGTCAAAGGATCGTAGTTTGTTAGATATTGCTAGATCCAACGGAAAAAATGCATTGCATTTAGCAGCTAGATCTGGGCATGTCGAGATTGTGAAGGCTTTACTCGAAAATGATCCACTACTGGCCAGAAGGACAGACAAGAAAGGACAGACTGCATTGCATATGGCTGTAAAAGGGGTTAGCAGCGAGGTTGTGAAATTGCTACTGGAGGCTGAACCGGCTATAGTTATGCTTCCAGACAAGTCTGGTTTTACTGCATTGCATGTAGCTACCAGAAAAAAGCGAGCAGAGGTAGACTTCATTCTTTCTCAGAAATTATACCATGCTGTCAAATCAAATGAAAGCAGATGTGGACACACCACAAGTATTTATCTTTGTGCATGCATATATAGCCTATAGATACACGAAAATGGTGTGAAGAGTCCCATTTGTAGAGGGTGATTGTTAGATATCTGCTCGTTTGTCTATGGAGAGTTAAAATCGACTTCTATTATCAAGCTGATATTATTGACACCAATATAGTTGTTACACACTTTGTATCTGACGTGTTTGCCTTGTTCTTGCAGATAGTAAACGAGTTGCTTAGCCTCCCTGATACCAGTGCTAATGTCAATGCATTGACTAGAGATCACAAAACTGCTCTTGATATAGCTGAAGGGATTCCCTTATGTGAAGAATCTACGGATATAATAGCCTGCCTTACTCGCTGTGGTGCAGTCCGAGCAAACGAACTGAACCAACCAAGAGACGAGTTAAGAAATACTGTGACTCAGATAAAAAACGATGTCCATACCCAACTGTTGCAAACTAAAAAAACAAACAAGAATGTCCATGGAATTGCTAAAGAGCTCAGAAAGCTCCATCGTGAAGGGATTAACAATGCCACCAATTCAGTAACTGTGGTGGCTGTGCTTTTTGCAACCGTTGCATTTGCTGCTATTTTCACGGTCCCTGGTGGTGACGATAATGACGGAATGGCTGTGGTGGTGAACCGGGTTTCTTTCAAAATCTTCTTCATCTTTAATGCCATTGCCCTTTTCACTTCTTTAGCGGTGGTGGTGGTTCAGATTACGTTGGTTAGAGGTGAGACAAAAGCGGAAAGAAGGGTGGTTGAGGTGATCAACAAACTGATGTGGTTGGCTTCTGTGTGCACTTCAGTGGCTTTCATGGCTTCTTCTTATATAGTTGTTGGTCAAAAGTATGAATGGGCAGCCATTTTGATTACAGTTGTGGGAGGAGTTATAATGGCAGGGGTTCTTGGAACCATGACCTATTATGTGGTTAAGTCCAAGAAAACTCGATCAATTAGAAAGAGGGAGAAGAAGAGTGGTTCAAACTCATGGCTACACTCTGAAAACTCGGAAGTTGACAGAATCTATGCGATATGAGGTAACATGCTATTGTCGTACTCGTACCTATAATCTTGTTTATAGCTAGGTATATAGTCAACAATTGATCTCGAAATTGTGAAGTCAGAATACTTGATTGGTGGTTGATGAGCATGAAAAATGGTAAAATTTCCAGGATTCTTTGATGCCATAACAAGGTAGAACTGGATACTTGGGAGTCAGAGGAGAACAGTGACTGATAAATGATTTCAAAGAGTTGGGGTAGCCCTTGATAAATTGTATTCTGACTCATAAATTTCAGATCTTCAATGTATACTACTTACTATTCATGGGTACTTTTTGTACCTTTCATGACCATATTTCAATCGTATGCTGCCATACACACATCAAGGGTGGTTCGTCGATAGAGGTGACCAGAAAACCAGTATCTGATTCTGGAAAGTTTGACCGGGGAATCTCTGAGTTAACTGGGGACGGGGAATCCATGAATTTAGAAACTGAGGATTGGCAACCCGAATACGATGCTTTTGTAGTATAAATAATAAACGATACGTATGATACTATATGCTCCCTCATTATGATTTTATGACTATTTTTTGTTTGATATATAACCTAATTATTAGTGATGGATTACGATTATTGCATCTTTTAATTAATTGAACAAGATAAAACTATTTGTTTTGTACTAAAAAATGAGTATTTATTATAACTTGTATTTGATTATATTTTCTAAAAGGTGGTATTTGACCAAAATTTAATAAAAAGTTGTAATATGTTAAATTTTATTTTGTCATAGTATATTCTTTTTTCTCAAAAAAAAAAAAAAAAAAGAGTAAAAAATCCCTGATGCCTTGTTGTGGATATGGGGTTTTTTAAAGAAAGTTTACATACATTCTCTAACTTTATGAGATTGAATCCAATTGATCTCTAAAAATGTTGGGTTGTATGCTACTAGTTAGGGTTGCTCAAAAATCCGACTAACCCGATCAATCTAACGTGAAATAGCCCAATCCGAAGCAACTCGATGTTTAATCGAGTTGTAAAGTTGTCAAACCGTAAGTATTGAGTTGATATTTGGTTACTATTATTTGAACTTAACCCAACCCGATGAAATTTATATCCTTTTATTTATTGGATTTAACATAAGTGTTGAATTTCTATTAATATATACATTAGACAATTACAGTATCATGTATGCTTTTCATATCTACATATTTTCAATCTATTCATATCTCTATATAACTTATTCATATATATGTTCAGTAACTATGATGAGAAAATTAACTGAATGTGATATACGTAAGAAATATGGATAAATTGTATCAAATGGTTGATGATGAAAAAGAAATTATGAGTAGAGAAATAACATATTCAAGGTTAGAAGAATATTTTAATATACCAAAGTATTAACCCGACCAAGTTGGGTTGGGTTGCACTTCTGTTTGGGTTGGGTTGGGTTAAGATTTTCCAAACGGTAAGCATTGGGTTGGGTTGTTCAAATATCTTCAACCCGATCAAACCAACCCATGAGCACTCATAACCAAAAGGTCATTTGGTGGATTTAAGTTAAGTTATAATAACACCACGGTGGTGTCTGATTGGTTTGAGTTTGACTCCAAAGGTCAAAAGTACGAGGAGGTCCCAGTTTCAAATCCAATAAGGAATAAAAATTCTCTTGTGGCCATATAGGTTCAAATGCGGTGACTCCGGGCTATCTGCAAAGTAGGTGGTTGTCTTGGGATTAGTCGGCTCGCATAGCGGATTGGATATCAAAGTTAATAAAAAAATCATTTTAGAGATTTAGGAAAAGTTTATTCCAACCGTTATGTTAAACTTTTTTCTAAAAATAGAAAAAAAATGAGAGAGAATGAATAAATCTCCAAATTTAGTTAAAAAAGAGGGAAACTAATATAACATATATGTTGAAGAGCTTTTAATATTGGATGTTGATACAACGAGCAAATTTTAAGAACGAATTAAATGCGGAAAACAATAACAAACATTTTCTTAAAGTATAATCAACTTTGAAAGGACAACTTGCATGAAAAAAGTAACGTGTTTTAACTTGATTTCTATTTTCGGTAACGTACTTTCGAGACTTCTATTTTAATACATAAAGATGTAAAGTTTTAAACATTTAAGCACCTGAATAACCGGTTGAAGACTCATTTTAGATTAACAAAAAGACTAAGTTTAGATTAAAAAAAAATCATGTCACTAACCACATCAGCAAATAATACTTAGTTGGGTACCACATAAACATGATAACCGGTTAATGCTTCAACCAGTTACCCAAGTATTTAAATGTTTAAAAACTTTACATCTTAGTTACAAAAATGAAAATTTTAAAAGTACGTTACCTAAAATAAAAATCAAATTAAAATAAGTTACTTTTTCATGTCATTTGATTAATTTTGAAATGATCAAAAGTGATAGATTTGAATTGAAATCTTAATAAAACAAAACCTTTAATTTTTAGATGATAAAAAGTAGTAATAATAAAATGTTTTATAATAATAGTTAATAGACAAATTTATATGTAATCTTTTCAAAATTTATTGTATTTTTTTATACAACTTCAAATTAAGAGTTTTATATATTTTTATAGAAAAGAAAAGTTCTAAACAGCCAATTAACCATAGACAACTCTTTTTGTCACCAATAAGATGTTTACTTGCCTCTTAATCCATCTGACCAAAAGAGAGCTTCTTATTCCATCAAAACTATGTCGTTTTTTAACCTCTTAATCAGACTGGTGAGGCTCTTTGGTAGCTCTTACTCATTCAACAAGTAATAATTTGCTTACTCGGTCATACATAACATCTTAATTTAAGAATTGTTCAGTAATTATTGAATAGTTTGGTGTAAGATGATTAAGGGGCCGTTATGCTTACCTGGTAAGTGCTTAACGTTTAGGAATCAACACTATAATTTATTTTATTGGGTAAGATTGTAGTACATCAAAAGGTATCTTATATAACAATTCACCTGATAAGCGTTTATCCGGGTAAGAGTCGTCACTCTCACTTACTGGGTAAGACTCTCCATCCTTATCATCGCTCTTACCGGGTAAGATTCTTGGCGCTTGCCATGTTCATCGGGTGAGAAAAATTGCCCGGTAAGTACTTATCGGGTAAGCGTTTAGTAAACGGCCCTTAAGTGATCAAAATGATTAAGAGACTCTTATAATATAGTGTAAAATAAAATATGAATGTTTGATAATTGTTCAGAATGAAATTAGCGAGCTTAATGGTTTAGGGAAACACAAAATACAAACTTATTCAAAGGGTTTTAGAACCATTAAGAGACAGACTTTTTTTGCTAAACAATTATAAGATTCACCTACTAACGATTCTGAGACTGCTTCTTAATTGAACTATTAAAAGATAAACAAACGACACATATGGGTTGTCTTATCAGGTTGTCTTATAGTAGCAACACTTCAACAACGTACTTAAACAACCATTAGTCACTTCTAGTATAAATTAATTGACCATTTATGCTACATTGTGAACAAAGAAAAAACGAGACCAACACCAAGAATAAAGTTGAAGATTCTAACAAATAGAATACAGAATTATAGATGAAAATTGTGACATACTTATGACAAGAGCTAACCAGTTGTCTGCTACAACCATACAAATTATTATAGCATTGTAATTTCAAAATTACTTTATTATAACATCATCAATTTCTATTACAGCAATGTAATTTTTAATTTTAATATTTTTATCATTTATACATTGTAAATTTAATCAAATATGTTTACTAAAAATATAATATCATAAATTAAATATGTTTACAAAAGATCACTATTTCACAACATTGCTCATGATCACCCAAAGTCAATAGATGATCCTTGATACCATGAATAACATTTACAGTGTTCCTTATACCACTTTCGTGAAATAACGATATCTTGTAAACATGTTTAATTTCTGATATTATAATTTTTAATAAACATATTTGATTAAATTTACAATATTTAAATGATAAAAATATTAAAATTAACAGTATAATGTTGTAACAGAAATTGGTGATGTTATAATAAAGTAATTTTGAAAGTACAATGCTATAATAAAAAATGTCATGTCAGCATTATCATACATGTGGACGGCCTACGTGGAGAGATGACAAAGAAACCTGATATAATGGATGAATTTAATTTAAAAGGTTATCTAATGCTATAACGGGTAAGTTTTTGAAAATACAATGTTCTAATAAAAAATTATATTGAAAGTACATTGCTGTAATAAGAAAAACTGAAAGTAGAATGCTATAATAAAGAAATTTATAAAAGTAGGTTGCTATTTCATACATTTTATCCTATTTAAATAATTAAAATCAAGTAATTAGTTGTATGATAAATGATGTAATAATGATATTTGAATGTGTTAAGCAAAGGAGGTTGATGGTGGATGACATGTTGACCTTAGTTTAAGAATTGGGTGACCCAACCATTAAATTAAAGCATAATTATAAGGGTTTATGTCTGGATTTTGGATCCTTTTTCTGCTTTTAATATTTATTGTTTCTCAGGTGTCTTTCAGATGCTGCTAAGAGCCACACAAATATACACTATATATATATATATACACTTGAGATCATATAAGATTAAGGATTTTTTGTAAAACATGTAAGACCGATTCTCAACCCTTGGATTATATCTACAATCTGAATATTCATAATCATACAATTGCCACGAGATTTCTCAATAATCACATAATTGTCACCGTGTAACTTTAGACTATTAGATCATTAGCTTATAAAGTTGATCAATGAACATAAATTGGTTTTACGGGTCTCACGGAAAACCTTTAGTCTCACGTGAACCCAACTCTCTCTCTATGTGTATATATATATATATATATATATGTATATATAGAGATAAAAGTTTAATTATGTACAAATCTGTTCTCCATTGTGAAATATATGTGTTTCATTGTGAAACGTGAGACAAAAAAAAGCAAGACACTTATCTTGAATTTGTTTATGTTTATCATAAATAATGAACCTCATTCATTATGAATAATAAACGTCAATTTCTTTACAACATTCATAATGAATATCTGGAACATATGACAAATTCTCTCTCTTATCTCTCAGTTCACGATCGAACTTAAGTTTGCAATTGATTGAACCCCCCTCTCTCTACATTATTTATATACATTTAATCATTTGGTAATCCCAAAATTTGTGAGATTCGTAAGAATTTCTTACCTTAAGGTTTTGTTTTAAATGATTTTCTCCCGTCTATTTGTAGTATTTAATGTATTAATTAACATATATAAATTTCTTAGGGGGTATTTGGGATTGCTTATTTGAAACAACTTATGTTTTTCTGCAAAAACACTTATCAACTTATTATAAGTCACAAAGGTTTAACTTCTTTAAAATCTTCTTATTACCGGTTTGACACCGGTATAAGTTGTTTATCCAAACATTCAAAAATACTTATTACCGGTTTGGCACCGGTATAAGTTGTGTATCCAAACATTCAAAAGTATTTATTACCGATGTTACACCAGAATAAGTCAATAAATTGTTTTTATAAACAATCTCAAACAATTTCTTGTTGGTTTCTTTGTCAGGAAAAGAAACAATTCTGATGAAATTGATTCTATTTTTCTAATCATTAAACTAATCAATTTTGAAGGAAAAAAAACACGTAAAATAATTGTTAAAAATACATATAATTTTATTCCATTCTTCTTGACTTTAGTCAAATAATTATGCGATTATTTGATTCTGAATCTTTTTTTTTCTTTCTAGAATCATATAATCATTTCGGAAAGAGTAAACACCGCTTTTGGTCCATGTTCTTTTTCAAAAAGTCCAGAAATAGTCTTTGTATGCATTTTGTTTCGAAAATGGTCTCTAAATCTAACTCCATTAGTTGGAGTATCGTTAGTTCAGAGACATTTCGAACATTTTATATGTGACATTTCGAACATTTTATATGTTTTAGTATTAAAAAAAAAAAGCCAGTGTACAAATTTATTTAGCTTATATACAAATCGAGATTTGAGTTTTTTGAAATGTTATTGATGTACACTAATAGTTCCATTAAAAAACAACATCTGAATAGTTAAGAGGTGAATCTTATTTGACAAAAAAAAGTTCTATCTCTTAATGGTTCTAAAACTCTCTGAATGATTTTGTATCCTGGATCTCCCTTAACCATTAAGAGCCCAAATTTCATTGTACACAAATACCAAACAATTATATTTCATTTTGCACTATATCATGAGAGTCTCTTAATCATTCTGCACCAAACCATTCAGCAATTGCCAAACAACCCCCAACCTTTTTCCCGAGATGAAATGAAAAAAATGACTCACAACTAACAAATTAAACTTTCGGACCATTTTCAACGTAAAATGCATATCATGGTGACGATATATATCTGGACTTTTCGAGTTTTTTTGGCTAACCACATTGGAGTTTACTCTTGAAATATGTAATTTCGATCACTCTCTAAATCTTTACGATATTTAATCTTGACTCTTTTTTCATCGATATCCATGTTTTAGATTATGGTCTATAATTTGAGCTATTAATTAACATCGCAAGAAATAATCTTCACAACGTTCGAAAATTCCCGATGAACGAATAGTTAAAAACGATTAAGCGTTATAAGAATGTTGGACGGAATTTTCTTCACCGATGGACAACTTATATTTATGATATAAATTTCGTTTATTAACACGTTTAGATATGAGTTTGATCGATTCATATTTCAGAGGTCAAGGCTCAATGCAATTTCAAGATTCTCCCAACATGTTGTAAAGTACAAGACACGCCCGTAAGTTTGAATCTTTTGCACAAATGACACCAAAGTTTGCAAATGTATGACATTAATTAATCTTTCTTTCATTCCATCAACCCCTACAAAGTACTTGTCTTTCTTTATCATCACACGCTATTCTTGAGGCTGCCAAGGAGCAAAAACCCATATCACTTATCGTCTTTCTTGAATGCAACTGCTGCTGTGACCTTTTGCAATGGGCGATCGCACTTTGTATCTGGTTTTCGATATCAGAACTCGTAGTGATGCTTCTATGATGAACCTGCAACTCATTAGAACTGTTTGAATTGCTTGAATTTGAAAACAATGAAGGCCCACATGAAGCGTTTGTGGTCGAAAATCTCTTGATTGCACCAGAAAACGATCTCCGATGACGAAGACCATTGTGGTTTCCATCAAGTTTTTCTTTCTTCTTCCCGCTAGTTCTTGTCATTTTGTTTCTAGATTCATCCGAGCCGCTCGATTTACCAAAGAAAGACTTGAGATAATCTCGAGACGCTTTTAGTTTCGAACCAATAGAAGATTGTTTTGTCAGATTAAGCTTTCTGGTCCATGACTTTTTAGGGTTTTCAGCTGTACTATCAAGAAAGTAGTCTTCTGGATTGAGTTCCCTACTGACCTGACATGAACTTAAAGGCGAAACATTACAGGATCCAAATGGGGTACTCGCGGCAGGTGTTGCGTACGGGCTTGCAGCCAATGGGGTACTAAAGAACTCATCGAACGTATCCATGTTTTTATCTTGTAGCAGCTTTTCGACCATTTGTAAGCGCGGTGGGAGATGAAGGGGGAGAAGTTTTCCTTTGTAGAATAACTCATCAGCAGGAGAAGTTGTCGTTAGTTCTCTATCTAACGAGCTTGAAAACATCTGGAACTCGAATTCGCTTGGATTCGAGTGACAGAACAGACTTTTGAACGCGCTTACTTCCATATCAATGTAGTCGTCTTCTTCTTCTTCTTCTTTTTCGACATCGTTGTAGCAAACGGAATCGAAAACTGAAGAATCCACAGCCATTGATGGTGTGTTAACAAGAATGCACGGCTGGGAAGTGGGGTTTAGAAAGGGTATATATAGAGATGTGAAATGGTGGTAAAGCTGTTATATAGGATCTTGTCACAAGTCCATAATCTGATATAAATAATAGTTGATGAATTATATACAAACCAAAATGTAACTTAAAGATAAAATGTAATTAACTTAAAGATTGTAGATGGTGGAGACCCCATGAATGACCAACAACCAAAAGATGTTTTCTTTTGAATCTTTTAAGTAAGTTTATAAACCATCAATAACTTCTGTTTAAAAATTCAGACGCTATTTTATGTAAAAATATATAGTTAATCATTATATAGATGATTTTTTACCAATTTAAACTAGAATATCTTTATTTTACGAGAATGCAAGAACACCCTTATTCCATGTGATAATACACGTGAGGGTAACATCACATGTTATGGTCTTAATGGATTATAGTATCATATCAACAACAACCTCATCACATGTGATGATACTTGTGAGGGGCTTGGTGGTGTAAGGACGACTTGACCCGCAACCAAGATCGCATCCAAAATTGCTTGAGTCTCTGATTTAGTGTCACATGTGTATCATATATAATGAAATAATAGGATCACATGTGTATCATATGTGATAGAATAATAGTATCACATGTGATTGTCTATAGTAAAAGGGTGTTCTCGTGTTCTTGTAAAATGAAGATGTTCTCGTTTGAACCATTTCCTGTATATATATATATGTGTGTGTGTATATATATATAGACTTGGGATCATGTGAGACCAGGGTTTTTCGTGAGACCTGTGAGACCCGTAAAACCAATTCTCAACCTTTGAATTAGATCTATAATCTGACAATCTGAATATTCATAAACGCCACGAGACTTCTTAATAATCACAAAATTGCGCCGTACAACTTTAGACTATTAGATCATTAGCTTATAAAGTTGATCAATTAACATAAATTGATCTTACGAGTCTCACGAAAAATCATTGGTATCACGTGAACCCAACCCTCTATATATATATATATATATATATATATGTTTTTTTTTTGTGCCTTGGTAAACACAAAATTTAAAACCATCCCATTGCTCAAAACCTGATTTTATGGAGAAATAATGAAGTAGTGAGTGGCAATTGATTAATTAAAAAGGAATTATTAATATATATAAAAAAATGAAAAAAAGAAAAGATGAGAAGGCCAACACTCCTTTTTTTGCTTTCCCTAACTTTTTACTGGATTCCTGCTTTGTCACTTGTTCAGTGGCCGTCTCTTTCTTTATCAAAACTTCCGTTTCTTCTTTAAAAATTAAAACAAATTACAATTACAATATTTTTAATTTAATAAATCACAAAAATTTAATGTCACTCACATTTTACTTCTTTATTAAGTAATTTGATATTCAAATTCATTAATGTTTTCACACTTTTTTGGGTTAGTATTATTCAGTAAGAGCTTACTCAACGATTAACTCTTATTCAAATTATACTGGTAAATGACCCTTAAATGAACATTAATATAACAACAATTTCATAATAAAAAGTATATCAACCGTTTGGCTGGAAACGACAATAGAATGAAGAAATGTCATACAAATAATTTTCCAATAGTGCTTACCGACACGTACATCAAACACAAATCGAGACATTATCATTAAAGATATGACCGTCAAAAAGACGACACTATGTTATTTCAGATATTTATTAATATATTATCGTCTAAATTAATAATATCAAGTATCATTAAATTAAATGGTTGATAACATTATTTTTTGGGGTGCTTTTGGGCAATGTAATGATGCAAAGTCCATTTATAGGATGTGTGGAGCAGGCTGCCTCCCATGAATTAATGTCTACTACATGGTCCAATAAACCCAAGGATCCTTCTCCTGTTTTCTTTAGGTTTCTTTTCACTTATTTTGGTACTTTAAAAGTACACGTACAACATATAAAGCATATAGTATAACTTGACATATGAAAATACCAAACTTTATCCTATAACGACATCTGTTCATGCTTCAACATCAAGGGGACACTTTTTAGTGTTGTCTGTTGTCAGAGTGTGATCGAATACTTTAATAACATAGTTATGAAGTCTAAATTGTTTGTGATTATATTAAGACTGATATCCTAAGTATGAAAAGACAGTGGAAGCTTTGGTATGTCGAAACCTAAATGTTAAGTCAGCAACACTTCCAAATGCCCACTTCTTTCCATCACATCCACGATCATATCAGTAAGAAGGAACATGACTTCTAATCAGATACAATAAATTAAAGCCTGTAAATAAAAGGAAAGAAGTTGATTGATTAATGTTTTTATGGTGATGAATGGATTTAAAAAGTGAAATAAGTACAAGTTGGGAAGGTGTTTTTGTGTTGTGAAATATGAAAGCATGGTAGTCCCAAGCAAATGATATTGGCTTTAAAAAGAAGGGACAAATCTCTACCTTCTTTTTAGTTTTAGCATCAAAATATCTACACACTTAAACCAACACCACCCACCCAATATGTCCTTTGGTCTATTTTTAATAAAGATTTGATATATATGACAGATAAAATAGAACTTATTGAGGTGGGTGTTTGGGATTGCTTATTTGAAATAACTTATGTTTTTTTTACAAAAGTCTTTATCAACTTATTATAAGTTAGAATTGTTTTACTTCTTCAAAAACTTCTTATTACCGGTTTGGCACTGATATAAGCTGTTTATTCAAACATTCAAACGTGTTTATACCGGTGTTACACCAGAATAAGTCAATAAGTTGTTTTTATAAGTAATCCCAAACACACCCCTGAATAAAGTTATGGATTTAATGAATTGGGTAGACCTAAGTTGATTGTCTTTTTGAAATTACAGTACACATACACACACATATTATATATATATATATATATATATATATATATATATATATATAGTTGGGTTCATGCGAGACCACGGGTTTTCCGTGAGACCCGTAAGACCAATTTATGTTTATTGATCAACTTTATAAGCTAGTGATCTAATGGTTTAAAGTTGCACGGTGGCAATTTTGTGATTATTGAGAAGTCTCGTGGCGTTTATGAATGTTCAGATTGTCATATTGTAAATCTAATTCAAGGGTTGAGAATTGATCTTACGGGTCTCACGAAAAACCCTTGGTCTCATATGATCCCAAGTCTATATATATAAAACTGAAAAAAATGAAAAGATAAGGTTCTTGTTAAGAACGTATACTATGGAGTTTAATTGAGATCTTTGTTTTATCGAAATAGTATTGGTGTATGAGAAAAAAAAGTAGAAAAATAAGAGTATTATCAAAATGAAAAATCTAATAAGCCCAAATGCAAATGGGTTTGGACTTTGGTAAAAAGCTCATTCAAGCCCATTGCGGCCCAAACTTTGTGAACCTCTTTTGCTATCAACCTACTTGAATTCTGAAATCTGAATGGTACCTTTCTATGTACACCACAAGTCCTCAATATGTGGTCGCCTTACCTTAGGAGCTTTAAATTTTATCATCAACTACAAATAACGACCACATCATATTATATTATATTTGTTGAAGTAATTGTTGTTCAAACATTTGGCTACATTACATATAACAAAGTATCTTTTATTTTATTTTCGTCTCTAAACTAATTCTTACCTTTTTAAGTATAAGAGATCAAAATAATAAAGAATTGTAAATCATAAAAACTGAAACAACAATAAATTATAAATCATAAGAACGAAAATAACAATTTTTTATATACCATAGGGATGAAAATCGCAATATCTAAACCATAAAGGCATAAATTTAATTTTTAACAAACTGTAGAGACGAAAAACATAATTTACTCTTGAAACTAAAATAAGTGTTTTATCTACATTTTTATATTTTATTATATTTATCTGTAGTTAGTTATACAAATTAACCATTAAGCTTTAATAAGTTGTATTTATTTTTAATCAACTTGTAATCTTCAATTTAAAGTAATATATATTAATAACCGGTACTAGATGCATAAAAAAACTTTTTAAGACTTTACCCTAAGTACTTTATAATACTAGAAATGTACTCGCGCAATGCAGCGAGATAAATCTCGATTTTAATGTTTAGTTTTTATTCTTTATCTCTATTGATATAATACGATTTTGTGTGGTTTTGAGATATCAATAATATTTTATTTTTGAATGAAATATAAATTTGAAGATGACATAAAATTTTGAAAAATAAAATAAATCGATATTAATATTAAATTAACTATAAAAAAATAAATCGATATTAGTATTAAATTAACTATTTAATAGTTCTAGTTTCTTTGGTATAAGTTCTTTAATTTAATTTTTTATTATAACTTAATTTATATTTAATAACAAAGTAATTTATTTTTGGTTTGATAATATAATTTTTTATAAAGATAATAATTAAACATTCTGTTAGAACCCAACGATTATCTTGATTATATTTTAGATTTTCTACGTTTAAAATGAATGTTTATCATGTAAGTCAAACTATATATACGTATACTGATGTTTACAATTGAGCTAATCCTCAAAATTAAAAGGAAACACCCTTTATATAAGGTCAAACAAGACACAAGTAGTCAAAGTCAAACTATCTAACACAAGTCAAACACGGTGACTTTTACACAATTAATAACAAAATTAACTTTCAAGACGATACAATTTATCAAAAATAAGGTCTCCATTTACTAGATTGATGAATTAATCATATACTGAAATTAAAAAAAGAAAGATGGAGACTTATACAAACTATAATAATTAAGAACGAGACCGATCAATTTGGATAAAAACGAAGCAGGATTATAAATAAGAATGGACATGGCGCAAGATGGAACAAAACATGACCTTTATATCTTGTACATATTTTTAAAGGGTGCGTTTGGTACATTAGATATAATAATACAGGAATATATTGTAACAAAGTGGAACATACGTGTTTCACCATCATTTTACCAATATAGCATCATAATAAAGCATAATTATTTTCTAAAACATCAAACATGCCTCCCTCTTTATA